ACTCCCTGCCCCGCCCCCACCCGGACCCCCGGCCCCGCGCCTCCCCCCGCCCCTGCCCGCGGCCCCACGCCCCGCGAACCCCCTCGCCCGCGGCCCGGCCCCGTCCCCCGCCCCGCATCCCCCCCCGCCGCCCGCGCCTCCCCAGCTGCAAGGCCCACTGGCCCCCACCCCCGCCCGCGCCCCCCCCTACCGCCCCCGCCTGCGGCTCCCCCCCTGGCGGCCCCCTACAGGACCCCTTACCCCGCCTCCGCCCGCGCCCCCCCACCGGTCCCCCGCCGAGCCCCCTCCCTGCCCGCGCGCCCCACCCGGGGCCAGCGACGCCCCTCCCCCGCCCGCGGCCCCCCCACGCTGCCCCCCAGGCCCAGCGCCTCCCCTACCCTGCCCACCCGCCCGCCTCCCCTACCCTGCATCCCCGCCCGCCGGCCCGCCACCCGGCCCCCTGTCTGTCTCCCAGGCCAAATGGCGGCGCCTGGCAGAGGGCTCCGTTGTGTCCCTCGACATGTTTGAGCATGTCAGCCTCATGACCCTGGACAGTCTCCAGAAGTGTGTCTTCAGCTGCAGCAGCAACTGCCAAGAGTGAGTGTGGCCTTCCGGGGAGGACGGCAGGCGCTCCCAGGGGCAGGCGTGCGGGAGGAAGAGCCCCAGGCACGGGGCCACGGTGTTCACGCAGGATGCGTCGCCTCTCCCGGGCTCGTTTCCTGTATTCAAAAAATAGACACGGTTGGCCGGGGCGGAGGCTCGCGCCTGTCATCCCGCACTCTGGAGCCCCCAGGCGGGAGCGATCGCTCTAGGTGAGGACTCTGAGACCAAGCCTGAGCAAGAGCAAGACCCCCGGTCTTCTACTAAAAATAGAAAGAAAATTAGCTGACAACTAAAATATATAGAAAAAAAAATTATCCGGGGCGTGATGGTGGCGCCACGCCTGTAGTCCAGCTACTCTGGGAGGGCCTGGAGGCAGGAGGGATCGCTTGGTGAGCCCAGGAGTTTGGCGAAAGTCGTGTAGAGCTAGTACTCGGGTAGGCATGACGTCTTGTGGAAGCGAGGACGGAACAGACGGCCGCACACCGGCGGACACTCCTCCCTACTCTCGCGGTGTGTTAAGCCCCTCAAAAGCTCATTGAGCAACAAGCAGAGTTGAGACTCCCTGTTCGTGTCCAAAAAAGCACAAAAGAGTGGTCAACGCACTATGACGTATCATTTCGTGCACATGCTGAGCACGCTCCGACAGTTGTCTTCCCATGTGGAAGTCATGTTGGGAGGATTGGAATGGAGAATTCATTGTTCGTGTCAGAATCGAGGAGTTCTGAGATCCGGCACTAGCAGCAAGAGCGAGACCGTCTCTACTATAAGTAGTGGACTAATAGAAAAATAAGATTAATTGGCCAACTAATATAGATAATGTTTATTATTATATTTTGTATGCACCGTTGGCTTCTAATCAAGTGAGAGATGCTGTTCGTAGTCCGGAGTCTTATTGTGACGCGCGAGATGCGTTCGTGCCGCCGCGCCTCCTGGCCCGGACGCCCATGGAGTTTTTTGCTGTATGGCGCTTCAGAGCGTGATCCGTGTGGATCTGGATCGAAGACACTACAAGACTCTACGCCTGGGGGACTAAACTTAGGGAGGTCGTCTGACTTCCTCAAGAGATGCTTTGGGGTAGATAGATTCATGGCCTGGAGACCAGGGTGGGTGCCCAGAGAATATCGGCTGGAGTGACTAAATAAGTAAACATGGCCTGGCTCATTGTTCATCAAATATCATTGGCGGACCTACGGTGCGGGCACGGCTTTGAGGTTGCTGTGAGCTAGGCTGATACCACGGTACTCACTCTAGCCTGGGTGATAGAGCAAGACTCTAGTCTCAAAAAAAAAAGAAAGAAAAGAAAAGAAAAAAATTACCTGGCATGGTGGCGCATGCCTGTAGTCCCAGCTACTCGGGAGGCTGAGGCAGGAGGATTGCTTGAGGCCAGGAGTTGGAGGTTGCAGTGAGCTGTGAGTGTGCCATTGCATGCCAGCCTGGGCCACAGAGTGAGACCTTCTCTCTAAAAAAAATAGACAAATGAAATGAGTTACCGCATGAGTTTGCTCGAGCTGCCATACAACGTACCTCGGACCGGGTGGCCTTAAACAAGAGACGTTTATTCTTTCATAGTTCGGTGAGCTGGAAGTCCAAGATCAAGGCCCCTGCAGGGTTGGTTTCTTTTAAGGGCCCTGGAGGAAGAATCTGCTCTAGGCCTTTCTCCTTGGCCGATGGATGGCCGTCTCCTCCCTGCGTCCGTACTTCCTCTCTGTCTTGTGCATAACCTCTGTCCTCATCTCTCCTTGTAAGGACACCAGGCATGCTGGATTAGGGCCCGCCCCGAGTACCTCATTTTTAATCTGACTGCCTCTGCCAAGACCCTGTCTCCAAGCATGGTCACAGCCTGGGGTGCTGGAGGCCAGGACTTGTGAGTTCTAGGGGGTGGGGCACCTTCAGCCCGTAATGACAAGGTGAAAGATGGGACCTTGAGATGTGACACTTGCGTGGGTGTGTGGCCACTCTTCTTTCTTTTTGAGACAGGGTCTCACTCTGTTGCCCAGGCTAGAGTGAGTGCTGTGGCGTCAGCCTCACTCACAGCAACCTCAGACTCCTGGGCTCAAGCGATCCTCCTGCCTCAGCCTCCCGAGTAGCTGGGGACAACAGCTCAGCGCCACATGCCCGGTAATTTTTTTCTTAGTTATAGTAGTGCGCCAATTAATTTCTTCTATTCATGAGTAGAGTACGGGTCTCGGCTCTTGCTCAGCTGGTCGAACTCTGACCTCTACGACCTCGCGCTCGTCCTCCCGAGTGCTGGGATTACAGCGTGAGCCTCCATGCTGGCCCTCTTCGTTTGAGGCAGATCGTCACTCTGTGCGCCGGCAGGTGAGTCTGAGTGCCGTGGCGTCTGCCTAGCTCATAGCACTCAGACTCCTGGCTCAAGCGATCCTCCTCCTGCAAGCCTCCAGAGTAGCTGGACTACAGGCCAGCCCCACATGCCCGGCTAATTTTTCTTATATTTTTAAGTTGGTCCAAGTAATTCTTCTATTTGTATAGAGACGTGTGTCGCTCTTGCTCAGGCTAGGTCTCCGAACTCCTGACCTGAGCGATCTCCCGCTCGCCTCCAGAGTGCTGCGGATACAGCGGAGCCGGCCGCGCCAGAGCCAGATTGATTCGAGGCCCCGGGCAAGAGGGGCGGGGCGCAGTGGGGCCCAGCGTCCTCTCCTGGCCCGATTCAGATGAACGGAAGGGCTGTCGGAGGAGACATCAGACCGGAAGGCGGACCCTTCAGTTCGAGGGTGATGGCGCGCGGGAGGATGGGGAGGCAGGCGGGCGCCACTGCTCGTTTCGGTCCCTCCATTCAGGGGACCTCACCTGCCCGCAGGGTCACGACACGACATCCAGCGGCTTCCTGGGTGCTGTTCATTTGCGAAGTACCCGGAACCAGGAGAAGGCCGGGAGGAGGTCCAGAAGTCATGAGGGCCGGGAGCTGAGGAGCTGAGTGTCAGTCTGTGGTGCGGGGGAGGCAGGCGGCGCAGAGCCTTGGGCAGTGAGCTGGTCACACTCATGTGTGACCTTGACAGGTCATTCCTGAGTTCCAGTGTCTCCCCCGCAAAACAGTGCCGATAACCATGTGGTCACATCGCGCGCTCGAGAGGTCCGGCGGGCAGCCAGCCGCGTAGCAGGCAGCCCAACCCGCGCGCGGCGGGTGTCTTTTCTGCTTCTGTACGCACCTACGTTTCGTTGTGCTGGGCTTGGCCAGGTAAACTTGAGCGGCTTTCAATTTATTTTTTTTTTTGAGACAGAGTTCCGCTCTGTTGCCACGGCTAGAGTGAGTGCCGTGGCGTCAGCCTCGCTCACAGCAACTCAGACTCCTGGCTCCAAGCCGCCCCTGCCTCAGCCCCCGAGTAGCTGGGACTACAGGCATGCAGCCACCCATGCGCCGGCTAATTTTCCTTAATGTTAGTTGGCCATTAATTCTTTTATAGTAGAGACGGGTCTCCGCTCTTCTCAGGCTGGTTTCGAAACTCCTGACCTCGAGCATGACCCGCACGCCTCGCTCCCAGAGAGGCTGGACACAGCGTAGCCACCGCGCCCGGCCGCTCAAATAAAGTTGGGTTCGGGTCTGTTCTGACCCGCAGGCTGCCCACGCGGTCTCGTTCCTCCGGCGCAGATCCCGAAGCGCCCAAAGCCACGCAGTAAAAGCTGTGCTTGCTCTCCGTGGTAACAGCGCACGGTAGAGCAAGTCCCACGGCCAAGCCCAGCTTGAATGGGGCAAGACGCCCGCGCCGTTCAACCTGAGCACGAGGCGCTGTCGCGTCAAACACCAAAGGACGCAGGTTCTAAGACAGGGAGGAAGCGGAGAGTCAGAACAATGACCCAGTCTCTTTAGAACGTGTCGCCTGCCATGTAGGCTGACTTTGGTGCGCAAAGGAAACAGCAATTTACTAGCTACGCGCACAGTGAAGCAAGTCCCTCCGTCTCGCTCAGTCCTGTGCTCATGACCCTCAGAAGAAGCATCCATTGGTGCTTGCTGTGCCCTGGCACTCTGCTCGTCTGCCTTTTTTTTTAATATTATTATTTTGTGAGTGGGTACTGCTGGTTTGGCTGGCCTCTAATATCTGGGACTTCGAACGTGGCTACCACGCCGGCTACTACTCTTTTAAAAAAATTTTCTTGAGAGATGGGGGTCTCGCTATGTTGGCGGGCTGTTCCATTCCTAGCCTCAAGGACCTCCGTAGCTCCAGCCCCTGAGTAGCTGGTCGCAAATGGAGCCCGCCTCGCCCAGTGAATCTGCCTCTTTAACGAAGGGAAGATTGTCCAGTCACAGAAGCGGGCAGGGAGTGTCTAGCCAAATTAAGGGACACTCATCTGCTTTGCAGTGTTTGCATGTGGGATAACCTTTTTTATCCAGGGAAATGATTTTTGCTGCCCTTTGTGTAGAACATAAAAGTTCTATGTATTTATTGGTTTATCGTTTGAAGACAGAGTCTCACTCTGTGCCTGGCATCAGCTAGCTCACAGCAACTCCAACTCCTGGGCAGTGATCCTCCTGCCTCAGCTCCAAGTAACGACTGGACTGCAGTGCACACCACCTGTGCCTGGAAATATATATATATTATATATATATATTATTATATATATATAATAATATACTATGGTAGAGACGGCATCGCTCTTGCCAGGCTGTCTCAACTCGATCTCAAAGCGATCCTCCACCTCAGCCCAGAGTGCTAGGATTAAAGGGGGAGCCACCGGCACCTGGCCAAAATTCTTAGAAGAGAACCCAACAGCACCACTGCCACACCTTAATCCACACTCTGGAGGCCGAGGCAGCAGGATCACTCGACCAAGACGTTCGAACCAGGCTGAGCTAAGAGCGAGCGAGATGCTGTCTGTGCACAAAATAGAAAATAGCGGGCGTGTGGTAGCGCTTTACTTGTAGTCCCAGTATCGGGAGGCTGAGGCAGGAGATCACTTGAGCCAAGAGTTTGAGGCTCAGTGAGCTTTGATGTGACGACCATCCAGCCCTGGGCAACCAGAGCAAGACCCTGTCTCAA